CACGGTGCCATGAGAACGCGTTGCCAAGGGACACGGGGCGAAAGAGAGAGAGAAATTTCGTCCAATTTTACTGGGACAACTTCACGCAGCGAGATTGTCGTTGACAACCAAAACAGCGGAACCAAGGTGGAGAATATGGGCGCTTGGAATTGTAAAGGACGGTCCGTTTTGAAAGTCTAGCCCCGTGGCTCCCGTCCGCTCACTCGGCCCCAGAGGTCGCAACCAGGAACCCGATACCCGTACCCTACCCGATACCCGGCCGGGTACGGGTAGCCGTTTGCAACCCTGGTGCGGCCGGGTACGAGTAGGCCGTGAGTCACTGATGAGTAACCGTTTGTCACTCATTTCGGGTAGGGTACGGGTAGGGAACCGGTACCCATTTGCGACCCTGGTGCGGCCGGGTACGGGTACGGGTAGGCCGTGAGTCACTGGATGAGTAACCGTTTGTCACTCATTTCGGGTAGGGTACGGGTACGGGTAGGGAACGGGTACCCGTACCCGGCCGGGTACGGGTAGCCATTTGCGACCCTGGTGCGGCCGGGTACGGGTACGGGTAAGGAATCAAAACCCGTTTGCGACCTCTGCTCGGCCCTGGCAACTCAGCCGGCCGCACGCGAGAAAAGCCCCCACTCACCACAGAAAGATTCGCAACTTTATCAACAAGATATTAAACATCGACTCACAACAACCACCTGCAAACATTACATTCATTAACTGTACATGTTGCTGTAGGGTGAGACGCGTTGCCTCACTCTCCCAACGCAGGTGAGTTGTAGAACTTGAACCACAGGTGAGCTGGCATCTGAACACCCTGGCAAGGTGAGCCAACGTGACCTCAATCTCCCAACGCAGGTGAGTTGTTGAAATCGAACCACAGGTGAGCTGACATCTGAACACCCTGGCAAGGTCAGCCAACGTGACCTCAATCTCGCGACGCAGGTGAGTTGTTGAACTTGAACCACAGGTGAGCTGGCATCTGAACACCCTGGCAAGGTGAGCCAACGTGACCTCACTGTCCCAACGCAGGTGAGTTGTAGAACTCGAACCACAGGTGAGCTGAGATCTGAACACCCTGGCAAGGTCACCCAACGTGACCTCACTCTCCCAACGCAGGTGAGATGTTAAACTTGAACCACAGTTGAGCTGGCATCTGAACACCCTGGCAAGGTCAGCCAACGTGACCTCAATCTCCCAACGCAGGTGAGTTGTTGAACTTGAACCACAGGTGAGCTGGCATCTGAACACCCTGGCAAGGTAAGCCAACGTGGCCTCACTCTCCCAACGCAGGTGAGTTGTTGAACTTGAACCAGAGGTGAGCTGGCATCTGAACACCCTGGCAAGGTGAGCCAACGTGACCTCAATCTACCAACGCAAGTGAGTTGTTGAAATCGAACCACAGGTGAGCTGGCATCTGAACACCCTGGCAAGGTCAGCCAACGTGACCTCACTCTCCCAACGCAGGTGAGTTGTAGAACTCGAACCACAGGTGGGCTGGCATCTGAACATCCTGGCAAGGTCAGCCAACGTGACCTCACTCTCCCAACCCAGGTGAGTTGCCCCCTACAGCGGCTGAATGAATAAGTGTACTCTCCGCCTTGTAACGCAATCTCCCACCTTTCCTCACTGGAACAAATACTGTGTTCGCCGGATATATAAACCTGGGACTTGATGGGAGCGACGTCATCAGCTCGTGTCGTTGTAACTGTCTGATCGCAGTGCCCCCGACTGGAAGTCTGTTGGGGGGAGGGCAAGAGCTTCATAGCTCATCGGATTCCTCCAGCATGAAGCAAGATTTCGATTTAAAGCTTTCGTGACTGCAGGGATTCATCTTCTTGGTTCTTTCGGTAAAGTCACGTAGAAGGGAAGTAAGGTTTCATTTAGACGCTGTCGCCTCGACAGACCTGCTCTTCACCTGAGGACGGCTGCTTGTGTTGTGGCCGAAACGTCGTGAGAATTATTTTATTGTTTTATTATATTATTTTATTACTTCCCTTCTACGTGATGACTTTACCGAAAGAACCAAGAAGATGAATCAAGATTTTATATTCTGTGCGCAGGAGCGAGATGGATTGCGTCGCTCGGCTGTGGGAGGGATTTCGACGTCTTCAGAAGGCGTTCATCCAGCAGTTGAAAGACCACGGCTTAATGTTGGACTGTCTGTGGGGAGCGGTGGTGCATAAATGACGTCACGCACCTAGGGGGGGGGTCAGAAATTTGTGACGATGTGTGACAAGGGGTGGGGGGGGGGGGGGTTGAGAAATGTGACGTCACATCAAAATGCGTAACTTTAAATAAATATAGACAACACGTTCTACTTAATTAAATAGACTTTTTAATTAATGTTTTCTCCTACAACATCAGAGTGCAGCGCTACATTAAATACGCACTACAATGACAATAGTTGAAAGCGATTTGAAGCATGTTTTATTTTTGGGTGGGGTAGGGGGGGCAGAGCTTTGTGACGTCATCTTTGAGGGGGGGGTCTGACTTTTTTGGGGGGTAAAAAATCGTCCAAAATCGCGTGACGTCATTTATGGACGGCCCCTTTGTAGGATGAACGTTGAGATTTATAAGCGGCACGGGGTGGCCAATATGTTCTGTATTGGTCTGCGATAAGGTCGTGCACTGATAAGGGGTTGACTGGTTTGTGAGTTTGTGCATCCACATATCAAGCAGGCAGCAGTATCAGCATGCAAGATCACAGACACGAGTAGCATGATAAGTAGCGTCACTGACACCAAGTATCAAACTTAATACATAAAAGAGTTTTTGTTTCGTAACATAACTTTTGTCTATTTTCTTGGTTCTTTCGGTAAAGTCACGTAGAATGGAAATAATAAAATAATAAATAAAACATTATTTTTTTCTGTTTTATTTTTATTATTTTATTATTTCCATTCTACGTGACTTTACCGAAAGAACCAAGAAGATGAATCCCTGCAGTCACGAAAGCTTCAAATCGAAATTTTGTCTATTTGTTTGTGTTTCTCCCTTGTGATGGAACTTTGGAGGATGAACATTGAGATGTATAGGTGATAAAGAGATTGATAGGCATGCGATACCCCAATAAGGAATCGAAACGAATCGATTCCGATGCGATGAATTCCGAGCCTGCATCGTTATTGTAAGAATCGATTCGTATAATTGCATCAATCAATAATCATCTCGTCTCTTTGGTTCTTTCGGTAAAGTCACGTATAAAGATAAAATAATAAATTAAATACTAGCATACGACGTTTCGATTGTAACACAAGCAATCATCATCAGGTACAAATGAAATAGAAACACAAATCTAGTATACTTATAAATGTAATGTAATACAACAGAGAGAGTCGGATAACATAACAGTCAACACCCTACCTGGTTGATTACGTTCTTCCTGAGAATGTTACATTTGAGAGCGAGATAAAGCACAGAACCAGAGACATATAGACAGACATATAAGCAGACAGATATCACAGAGATACATAGAGAGAGACACAAACATAGACACACAGAGAAAGCCACGTCTCTGTGTCGAGGCCTTATACCTGATGATGATTGCTTGTGTTGCAATCGAAACGTCGTACGCTAGTACTTAATTTATTATTTTCTCTCTATACGTGACTTTACCGAAAGAACCAAAGAATAATTCCTGCAGTCACGAAAGCTCCAAATGAAAATCATCTCGTCGTTATACAATTAGCAATTTCCTGGAAAGCAGATGTCATCGGGGTGAGGGGGAGGGGTTGGTGGGGGCTGAGGGGCGGGGCTTGGGGTTTTAAATGGAGGGGGGGAGGGGTTGGTGGGGGCTGAGGGGCGGGGCTTGGGGTTTTAAATGGAAGGGGGGAGGGGTTGGTGGGGGCTGAGGGGCGGGGCTTGGGGTTTTAAATGGAGGGGGGGAGGGGTTGGTGGGGGCTGAGGGGCGGGGCTTGGGGTTTTAAATGGAGGGGGGGAGGGGTTGGTGGGGGCTGAGGGGCGGGGCTTGGGGTTTTAAATGGAGGGGGGGAGGGGTTGGTGGGGGGTGAGGGGCGGGGCTTGGGGTTTTAAATGGAGGGGGGAGGGGTTGGTGGGGGCTGAGGGGCGGGGCTTGGGGTTTTAAATGGAGGGGGGGAGGGGTTGGTGGGGGGTGAGGGGCGGGGCTTGGGGTTTTAAATGGAGGGGGGAGGGGTTGGTGGGGGCTGAGGGGCGGGGCTTGGGGTTTTAAATGGAGGGAGGGAGGGGGATGTGGGGGGAGGGGCTGTGGGATGAGGGGCGGAGGCGGTGGGGGGGAGAAAAAAAACCGCGCGCGCTCATTGGGTAGGGGGGGTTAGTGGGGAGGGGGTTAGTGGGGGGTAAGTGGGGGGGAGGTTAGTGTGGAGGGGGTTAGTGGGGGGGTTAGTGGGGGGGGGGGGTTAGTGGGGGGGGTTAGTGGGGGGGGGGGTTAGTGGGGGGGGTTAGTGGGGGGGGTAAGTGGAGGGGATTAGTGGGGGGGGGTTGGTGGGGGGGGAGAAAAAAAATCGCGCGCGCTCATTGGGTAGGGGGGGTTAGTGTGGAGGGGGTTAGTGGGGGGGTTAGTGGGGGGGGGGTTAGTGGGGGGGGGTTAGTGGGGGGGGGGGTAAGTGGAGGGGATTAGTGGGGGGGGGGGGTTAGTGGGGGGGGGTTGGTGGGGGGGGAGAAAAAAAATCGCGCGCGCTCATTGGGTAGGGGGGGGTTAGTGGGGAGGGGGTTAGTGGGGGGGGGTTAGTGGGGGGGGTTAGTGGGGGGGTTAGTGGGGGGGGGTTAGGGTTAGTGGGGGGGGGTTGGTGGTGGGGGGGGGGAGAAGAAAAAAAACCGCGCGCGCTCATTTGGTGGGGGGGAGTTCTTAGTGGGGGGGGGGGTTAGTGGGGGGGTTAGTGGGGGGGGTTAGTGGGGGGGTTATGAGCTTGAGGGGCGGGGCTGATAGCAGCGTGCCCCCCACCCCCCGTGCATGGCGAGAGAGCCCCTCCCCTCACGAGCTACATAACGGGCTGCGTGGAGCGAGAGCGCCACGGACGCGCGGTGCAGCGGCAGTAGGAGGGTGAGAGAGAGATACAGGAGAGAGATATACAGGAGAGAGATATACAGGAGAGAGATAAGAGAGAGATAGTGAGCACGCCGATCGGTGCAGAAGAACGGAGAGAGGAGAGAAAAGAGCGCGAAAGGGAGAGAGAGAGAGAGGCGTGGAAGGACTGAACGCTTTATCGTAATTTTGGCGGGAAAATTATATATACGTTTTAACAATAAAATTGGTAAAATTAAAGATATTTTTTCCCATCAATCTACGATAAATCGATAGCAGTAGGTTGGTGAGGCGAGGGTGGATTTTCGACCTTGTGAAAAGTGCCACTAAAAAGTAAAAAAAAAACGTGAGGTAAAACAAATCTTAATAAAATTAATCAAACATAAAATTAATATTTTTAAATTGCAAATATCTAATATATTTTTTAAAAAGCACCAGTCACCCACAACCCACCATCACCTTACATTGTGCATTGTACTCCGCACCCAAACACACCACCACCATCACCGCAACCACCATCACCACAACCACCATCACCACCACCATCACCACCATCACCTTAAATTGCGCATTGTACTCCGCACCCAAACACACCACCACCACCATCACCTTACATTGTGCATTGTACTTTGCCACCCAAACACACCATCACCACCTCCATCACCACCACCACCACCACAACCACCACTATCACCACTACCATCACAACCACCACAACCAACCACCACCCTCACCACACACACAGACACACAGAACGAGACAAGACAGCGACATGGCGACGGCTTCCTTCGGCAAGTTCACCCACGCCGTGGTGAGGGAGCTGCCCGCGTCTCTGGCTGCTGGCGCCCTCCGGCACCACGCAGGATGCGAGGGCGGCGAGGCGACGGCGGACGACTACGAAGGACGAGAGACGGAGACGACGACGGCGGTGGTGGACATGGCGAAGGCGTTGCGGCAACACGGGGTGTACGTGGGCGCCCTGCGGCAGAAGCTCGGGCTGCAGGTGGTCGTGATGCCGGCAGACGAGGCGCTGCCAGACTCCGTGTTCGTCGAGGACGCCGCCGTCGTGTGTGGGGACACGGCGCTCATCACGAGGCCTGGAGCCCCGTCACGGCGGCCAGAGGTCAGTGTGGTGGTGGTTGTGGTGGTGGTGATGGTGGTGGTGGTGATGGTGGTGTGTGGGGACACGGCGCTCATCACGAGGCCCGGGGCGCCGTCACGGCGGCCAGAGGTCAGTGTGTGGTGGTTGTGGTGGTGGTGATGGTGGTGGTGGTGGTGGTGGTGTGTGGGGACACGGCGCTCATCACGAGGCCCGGGGCGCCGTCACGGCGGCCAGAGGTCAGTGTGGTGGTGGTTGTGGTGGTGGTGATGGTGGTGGTGGTGATGGTGGTGTGTGGGGACACGGCGCTCATCACGCGGCCTGGAGCGCCTTCACGGCGGCCAGAGGTTAGTGGGGTGGTGGTGGTGGTTGTTGTGATGGTGGTGGTGAGTGAAGGTGGTGGTGGTGATGGTGGTGGTGTGTGGGGACACGGCGCTCATCACGCGGCCTGGAGCGCCTTCACGGCGGCCAGAGGTTAGTGGGGTGGTGGTGGTGGTTGTTGTGATGGTGGTGGTGAGTGAAGGTGGTGGTGGTGATGGTGGTGGTGTGTGGGGACACGGCGCTCATCACGCGGCCCGGGGCGCCGTCACGGCGGCCAGAGGTCAGTGGGGTGGTGGTGATGGTGGTGGGTGAGGATCGTGGTGGTTTGGTGGTTGTGGTAGTGGAGGTGTAATGGTGAGTGAGTGTGGTGGTGGTGGTGATGAAGGTGGTGGTAGAGGTTATGGTGGTTGGGTGGTGGTGGTTATGGTGGGTGATGGTTACGGTGGTTATGATGGTGATGGATGGTGGTGGTAGAGGTTATTGTGGATGAGGGTTGTGATGGTTACAGTGGTGGTGATGATGGTGGTAGAGGTTATGGTGGGTGATGGTTGTGATGGTTACGGTGGTGGTGGTGGTGATGATGATGGTGGTAATAATGAAGGTTGGTAGTAGAGGTTATTGTAGATGAGGGTTGTGATGATGGTGGTGATGATGATGGTGGTAGTGGTAGAGGTTATGGTGGATGAGGGTTGTGATGGTTACTGTGGTGGTGGTGATGGTGATGATGGTGGTGGTGGTAGAGGTTATGGTGGATGAGGGTTGTGATGGTTACAGTGGGTGATGGTGGTGATGGTGGTGGTGGTAGAGGTTATTCTAGATGAGGGTTGTGATGGTTACAGTGGTGGTGATGATGGTGGTAGAGGTTATGGTGGATGAGTGTTGTGATGGTTACGGTGGTGGTGGTGGTGATGTTGGTGGTGATGGTGATGATGGTGGTGGTGGTAGAGGTTATGGTGGATGAGGGTTGTGATGGTTACAGTGGGTGATGGTGGTGGTGGTAGAGGTTATTGTAGATGAGGGTTGTGATGGTTACAGTGGTGGTGATGATGGTGGTAGAGGTTATGGTGGATGAGTGTTGTGATGGTTACGGTGGTGGTGGTGATGATGATGATGGTGTATGAGAGGCTGGTGATGGCGCTCCAGGTTGTGATTGTGGTGGGTAATGGATAAGGTTGGCGGAGGCGTGAGGGTGATGTGGGTGGCGGCGCTGATGGCGAAGGGCTGGCTGGTGGTGTGAGTGTGATGGTAGAGACGAGCGGGGGTTGATTCGGGAAGGTGATGGTAGTTGAGGTGGAGTACTAGGTAAGGATTGTAGTAGTGGTAGTCATGAGGGTGATGAGGGATGGTGGCGTTTTAGGTTGTTCTGATACTGCAGCAAAGCAAAAGTGTCGGTGATGATGGCGCCGCGGTGGCGAGATGTTAACTACCTCGCCTGGTGTACAGGGGGTCGTGGATTTTCCCCTCTACATTTTATACAACGTGCGTTAAAAGTATTTGTCTGCTGTGAATTTCAACATAAGCCACCACTTCGTTGAGCTGTCATTTGCGGCCAGGTCGCTTCTGAAAAAAAGCTACAGTACACAGCCCAGTGGGCCTTACATTTCTAAATTGGAATAAATGACAGGATGGCGGTGATAGGGTCCTGAATGTAATGATTACCGGTAATTGTAGAGATATCTTGTGGCGATGTCGCGTTTGAGGATTTGGTTAGGTGACAAGAGGTGAGGGTTAAATGGGCATGACATTTGTTCTGATCGTAAAGGTTATGATGGTGGATGTGCAGTCGGTGGTGTTGGTAATGGTTGTGGAGGTGATGGTGGTGGATGGTACAGCTGGTGGTGCATCTACCGGTCATCTCGGTTAGCCGACCCATGGCACCTGCTGGGTCTGTCCCGAGACCTCATGCACCTAGCCTGGCACAGTAGGGGGTACAGCTGGTGGTGCATCTACCGGTCATCTCAGTCAGCCGACCCATGGCACCTGCTGGGTCTGTCCCGAGACCTCCTGCACCTAGCCTGGCACAGTAGGGGGGTACAGCTGGTGGTGCATCTACCGGTCATCTCAGTCAGCCGACCCATGGCACCTGCTGGTTCTGTCCCGAGACCTCATGCACCTAGCCTGGCACAGTAGGGGGTACAGCTGGTGGTGCATCTACCGGTCATCTCAGTCAGCCGACCCATGGCACCTGCTGGGTTTGTCCCGAGACCTCATGTACCTAGCCTGGCACAGTAGGGGGGTACAGCTGGTGGTGCATCTACCGGTCATCTCAGTCAGCCGACCCATGGCACCTGCTGGGTTTGTCCCGAGACCTCATGTACCTAGCCTGGCACAGTAGGGGGGTACAGCTGGTGGTGCATCTACCGGTCATCTCGGTCAGCCAACCCATGGCACCTGCTGGGTCTGTCCCGAGACCTCATGCACCTAGCCTGGCACAGTAGGGGGGTACAGCTGGTGGTGCATCTACCGGTCATCTCGGTCAGCCAACCCATGGCACCTGCTGGGTCTGTCCCGAGACCTCCTGCACCTAGCCTGGCACAGTAGGGGGGTACAGCTGGTGGTGCATCTACCGGTCATCTCAGTCAGCCGACCCATGGCACCTGCTGGGTTTGTCCCGAGACCTCATGTACCTAGCCTGGCACAGTAGGGGGGTACAGCTGGTGGTGCATCTACCGGTCATCTCGGTCAGCCAACCCATGGCACCTGCTGGGTCTGTCCCGAGACCTCATGCACCTAGCCTGGCACAGTAGGGGGGTACAGCTGGTGGTGCATCTACCGGTCATCTCGGTCAGCCAACCCATGGCACCTGCTGGGTCTGTCCCGAGACCTCCTGCACCTAGCCTGGCACAGTAGGGGGTACAGCTGGTGATGCATCTACCGGTCATCTCACTCAGCCGACCCAGGGCACCTGCTGGGTCTGTCCCGAGACCTGTCATCAGCGAGCCTTCGACACTTCACGTGACCTCAAAGTGCACCTAGCCTGGCACAGGCACCGTAGAGACGTCACCGTCACTTAGTGGCGAATTTGCGTATTGGTATTGATGATAGTACAGTATATATGGTTCTGCTAGTAAGGGTTGTAACTGGGGCGAGTGTTGCTCATGGCGAATTGTGCTGTTGGTGGCAATGGTGTTTATGGAAGTTGCGGTGATCTGGTGGTGGTGATCGCAATCGCGTTGGTGGAGATTGTGGAGGTTTGCAATGGGAGGGATTCGTGAAGGCATGTATGATGGGTGCAGGAGCAGATAAAACAATACGCATTGGAAGCGGTGGTGGAAGCAATTAATTACGATACATTAGTAGCATCGGTGGTGGGTGTGGCAACGAACTGGGAAGCATGGGGAAGCATTAGAAGCAGATGGAGCATAAGTGAAGGCAGCTGTAGAATTAGAATAAGCAGCAAGAAGCATTGAAAGCTCGGGGTTTGAAGCAGCAAATACAGACGCATCTGAAGCATTTGGGGAAGCAGCAGCAGCATTATACCAGCAGCAGCATTATAGCAGCAGCAGCATTATAGCAGCAGCAGCATTATAACAGCAGCAGCATTATAGCAGCAGCAGCATTATAACAGCAGCAGCATTATAACAGCAGCAGCATTATAACAGCAGCAGCATTATAGCAGCAGCAGCATTATAACAGCAGCAGCATTATACCAGCAGCAGCATTATAACAGCAGCAGCATTATAACAGCAGCAGTATTATAACAGCAGCAGCATTATACCAGCAGCAGCATTATACCAGCAGCAGCATTATACCAGCAGCAGCATTATAACAGCAGCAGCATTATAACAGCAGCAGCATTATAGCAGCAGCAGCATTATAACAGCAGCAGCATTATAGCAGCAGCAGCAGCATTATAACAGTAGCAGCAGCATTATAACAGCAGCAGCATTATAGCAGCAGCAGCAGCATTATAACAGCAGCAGCATTATAACAGCAGCAGCATTATAATAGCAGCAGCATTATAATAGCAGCAGCATTATAACAGCAGCAGCATTATAGCAGCAGCATTATAGCAGCAGCAGAAGAATCATTATACCAGCAGCAGCATACACGGCAGCAGTACTGCAGCAAAGTAGCAGGCAGCAGTGTACTGTCTTGTATCAGCACTGCGTTAAATTCATTTTCTATGGCCGAGATCATCCGCTGCCTCCCTCGGTAGGCTCATTATTGCCATATTCAAGCAGGTACAGCTCGAACAAGTATTATTGCATCGCATGCAAACAAAGCACTGTGTGGCCTTCCGCTACATTGGAGAAACCAGTAAATGTCTAGGTGATTTACATTTGCCCGACGTTTTCTGGCACCTTGCCAGCCAGATTTATCCAAGCCAGTGGCTAAGAGTGGTGGTCGTAGCTCCAGTGACATGCGGGTACGTGGCCTTGTCTTGAATTTCTAGTGGCAATGAGATTATAAAAAATTAACCCGTAAAAACAAAGTTTTTCACTATAAATCCTTTATATGCGTGGCGGCTAGAGTCCTCTCGTCCTCTGGCTTGAGATGGCTGCCATCTATGGGTCAGATGATTGTCTGCCAGTATTAAGCAATTGGTAATTAAATATTTAATTTGTTTTCCCTAAACAGTGTAAAATTTTGGAAAAAAAATTTCACGAACATTAATTGTCTCGCACAACGAGTCTGTGTGCAAAATGTCAGCTCGATTGGATCACGGGAAGTGGGTTAAAAAACGACCGAAAGATTTGCAC